ATATTATTCTGTGAGGTTTGCGACACATTGATACTTGGAGAGTACTGTGTCCTGACTCCTTGGGGAGAGGATAATGAAGTCTCAGCATTTAGACTCCACTTGGATTCTGTTCTATGTTTCAGTGCCTTTGGTTGATTCTAATTTGTATCCTTTCCCTGTCGTAAACCATAACCCTGAGTATAACAGCTTTCAATGAGTTCTTTGAGTCCTTCTAGTAAACTATCGAACATAAGAGTGGTTTGAGGATGTCTTCAAAGTTGCAATTGGTTTCAGAAGTGAGGGCTTTCTTGGGGATTGTGCCATTCAACTTTGTAGTTGGCTTTAAATGTTTCACAGTGGGGTTCATGTTTGTTTATCCTTTTGATCTTCCTTTATAGGTGGCTCTATGCTAATCTCGGCAGTCTGCTGCTGCTTCCTGTTTTTTGGCAACAGTGAGTCTGCGATGATTGGCTGGCAGTGCTTATTCTGTGGTACCAGCATTGCTGCCTGGAATGCTCTGGATGTGATCACAGTGGAGCTATATCCTACCAACCAGAGGTCAGTTTCTCCCAGGACTTCCCCATAGGACTTGTTTGGAGTTCTTTGGCAAAGGCTATCTGTTCAGGGCTTCACCAGTTTGGTCATCTCGGTCTTCCTGATGTACTGAGATGTCTACTGGCTGTTGAGTTTCTCCTGCATAGAGGCTGACATAGACTTGGAAGTGGGAAGGGTAGGGCTTGATATGGTTGGGCTAGCAAATGCAGAGGACAAATGGAAACTATGTGCAGGAGAGAGGAATCGGAGTAAAAAAATTAGTGAAACCATATGTGTCACATAATCCACCAGAGAATGGAGAGCAGGCGTGGCAATGAGGGAGGGCAAAAGGGTGAAGAACTAGATAAATATAGAATGAAGGTAGGGGAGAGAAATGAAAAAGGGTATGAGGCATGAGGACTATCTTCACAGAATGTGGCAGGGATGCCCAGTGTTTACTGGTATTTTGAGCAAGTTGTTTGGAAAGAGACCTGGTTTAAAGACATGGGGTCAGGTTCATTACTTAATGGTACTTCTCATGGAAGGTTAATTGTACATTTTAAGGAGGATGGATAAGTGACCTGTGGTCAAAAAGGACTGTGGAATAGTATGGAAGACAGGTATATGAAACTCCACAAAGAAATGTTAATGAAAGCCCCCAAATCTGGTGACAAATGTACTTAGATATAGGTATGTAAGGAAAATACACAGAGTACCATATTTAGAGATTTCCCCCAAACTAAAAAACTGTTAAGTTTCATTTAAAAAAATAAAGAAGGAAGGAAATATAATTAATTGAATGAGATGTTATTTTACATTTAAGAAACCCAAGAAAAGTAATTGAAGGGACTTTTAGAGACAGTAAAAAAATTTGGTAAGGTGGTCAGTAGTAAAACTCAATAACACAGAGGTTTTTGAATACATAGAAAAAGTTAAAAGTATACTTAAAAACATTTATTAACAGCAAAAATAATAAAATACATAGGAATCGATTAAATGAGAAAAGTGAAATGGTTACATGAAGAATGTGGTGGGTCTGAACCACCAGCCTACTGCTAACCAGAAGGCTGGAGGTTCAAACCCACCAGCCACTCCTCAGAAGGAAGGTTGGGCAATCTACTTCTGTAGTGATACTGCCTGACCCCCAAGGAGGGGCCACTTTGAGTTGGATCCCATTCCAGGGAAGTGAGTTTGGTTGCTTGGTTTAGGACATCTGGTGGCATGGTACCTGAGGTACGTGACTGCTAACCAAAAGGCTGGTGGTTCAAACCCACAAGCCACTCCATGGAAGGAAGACTGGGCAATCTACTTTCATAGAGATACTACCTTTGAAACCCAAGGAGGGGTTGCTATGAGTTGAATTGATTCCATGGCAGTGAGTTTGGTTGTTTTTTTTTTAGCAGTTTGCATAAGGAACTGACTGTTAACTGGAAGGTCAGCAGTTCAAACCCACTAGCTGCTCTGTGGAAGGAAGACTGGGAGATCTACTTCCCTACAGATTTATAGCGTTGGAAACCTAATAGGGGTCACCATGAGTCGGAAACAACTCAATGGCAATGAGCTCATTTTTTTTCTTTGTTTGTTTAGCAGTCTCTGCAAAGGAGCACTGGTGGTGTAGTGGTTAAGGCATTTGGCTATGCAAAAGGGGCAGGGAGGCCACATCTTCTGACCTCGTTTAACCCCACAAGAGGAAGACAGAATCACCATCAGTAACCCAAGTCCTACTCATGTGAGGCCAGACATGCTGCCTCCCTCCAGCCCTTTCACCAACCCTGACACCAACTGTTCCTCCCTCAGCACCCACCACCTCTCTGCTGTGTTCGATAATTCACTGCAGTGGCCACACAGAACTCATAGATTATGGAGTTTATTAGGGAAGTATCAAGCTACAATTCAAGTTCAGGAAAAATGCTCAGTCTCTCTCAGTCTCGCCAACCCTCAGGCAACAGTCTCTCTCAGCCTCTCTCCCAACAGTGTGTGTCACTCAGTGTATCTCTCTCAGCACTATGTGTCTCTCAGTGTCTTTTGCTTAGCAGTGCGTGTCTCTCAGGAGTGCATTTCTCTCAGCACCATCTATTTCTCAGCCAGCAGTCAGAGAGACTTCTTCTGCCTCTAGAAGGGCTCCTTTTGAGCCTGGCAGAAAGACCACTAACCAATTCCAACATCAGAATTCTATACACTTGAGAGAGAGTGAATTTGCCAGAAGATTGCTTCAAGCTGGTTCAACAGAAATACTCCAGGTGGATAACTTTAGCAATCAGGAGCTACTCATTTGCTCAC